CAGTATTTTTCTTCCCAGACTTCAGCCAACTACCATTTTGCCATTGATGTTGGGTAAATGGGAGCAGCCAGTGTTGTGTTGTTGTTTATATGTAGTAGGGGTACAAGAAGGTAATTGTTTTGGAAGGTATGTATTTCACTTTCATATGTCTGAACTAAAGGCTGAATCCTAGATCTGCTGAGGAATGCCTTTCTTTTTTTTGCCTCATTTGAATATCCAGAGTATAGTCTTATATTAAATGCTGTTTCATATATAGTGAATGGTACAAAACGCACTTGAATACTTCTTTCATTGATGAAGGCTGTGTGACCTTTGTGTTACTACTACGTTTGTTGAATATCCGGTGGTTGCAGATCAGAAGTGTCACGGCCAAGTGCAACAGTTTACATCACGCTGATACGGTGCTACTCCACTGAGGAATGCAGTCCAGTTAAACTGTAAAAAGGAGAATGAGGGTTTGTTTGTTTTTTCCTTTATGAGACTGCAGTACAAAGAACTGATTTACAGGATATGGGATCCAGTTTCAGCTTGTCACAGGTCAACCTCATTTCTAAAAAACAATAAGGTGTTGAGCCCTGGTGTTACCCACTGCAGGTACAGTAGTTTCAAATAAGATGTGTGGGTTCTAGGGCAGTTGAAAATATTCTCTAACAAAAGTAGCCTTTTTGGGTGAGTCACATTTTAATCATCTGACATAACAGAAGCCTACCATCAAGTAAAAAAAAAAAAAAAAAAAAAATCATTAAACTCAGTTGAAAGAAAATTTTGTTTTAGTTTCATATCCAGAAATAATCTGAATTATTTTTTTTTCTGCTTTGCATGTATTGTCCTATGAATGGAGTTGTTGTTGGGTGAAGGACTGCCCACCCAGTCCAAGTGCTGAGAGCTTAACTCCAGAGTATTTACCCAGGTAAGTTCCTCAGTTTCTTCAGCTTAGAATGGTGATAACACCGACATATCTCGCAGGGCATTATAACGTGTGCATGCATAGATGTTTTAGCAGTGGGTAGCAATATGTGAGAATATTCAAGTGATTTTACTGTAAGGCAATACAGTAAAGATGATTTGAGCAGTAGATATTTTGCATTATCTTCCTTAGTGAACTGTAATGAATATTTTTTGTAGAGTTTGAAATGGGGTTCAGGGGTAAAAGCCCGTATGGTTTGTGCAGTGAATTGTTGTACTGTTACTTATCAGAAAGAAGTGACTGAAATATGTGAGAAGTCTTCACTTAAAATTATGTTTTAGAAAGGAAAACTGTCCTGAAAGCCTGCTAAGTACTACCTTATAGCAGCGTTCTTTGCTGTCTGTTCACGATTTGAAGTTTTTTGGTGTGTGTTGGTTTTTGTTGTATTTTTCCTCGGCTCCCACTTAGACTCACTTGGCAGACTTCCTAATCCTGTTTGATTCACAATGTTCGGAACAACTGTGACAATGCTAACTAGCAGGACATTGCGTCACTGGGCTGATTTTTATTATTTTTCTCTTCCCAACCTCAGAGCTAAAGGTCATGTTGACAGATTGCAGGGCTGGTACACGACTGCTGGAGCAAACCGGCTGCGATGGCAGGAGCTCCTTCCAGCTAGTGAGTGTCACTGTGCTCCTTCTGATCTATTGGATGCTATTAGCTGTATAATATTAAATTAACTCTTTAATGCCCCCTACACTGCATGATGTTTTGATGTGGAATACTGAAACCCGAAAAAACAAACAATGTAAAACCTTTTCTGATTCCAAAACTCCCTGCTTCACATTCCTTGCAGCTTTGGATCTTATGTCTGTAAGTCACTCAAGGCCATTGTTCCTCTCTGCTTACAAGAATATTATTTGAAGTGTAGTCTTGCCAATTAAGTTTCCGGGGAGACTTTCTGATCCTTCCAGGTTTACACTCTTAAGACATCTGGGAGCTTTTGTTGAGCTATTGGAAGAGTTAGAATAAACTCATCTTGGAATGGACAGCTTAAGGTTGTATTGCCTCCCCTGTGATGTTCTGTTACTTGTGACATCATTTCAGGGAAATACATGTTGCAACTCTTTGTGCTCCGTGATTGTTTTTCTATTGTCAACATCTTTTATTTAAGTTGAGGTGTTATTCTTGTGTTTTCTTTAGACTGTTTCTATGGAGCTGGTACCCATCCACCCATCCATCCATCCGTTTATGCAATGAGTCATTCTTATGCTAGTTTTCAATTTACTTTAGATCCATGAATATCATTCTTAACAGCGCAGTACAAAGTAAAAAATGATTATCAGGTGCATGCAGCTAACAGTATACAGTTGTTGTTTTATATATCTATAATGTGTAGATACAGGCTTTTTCATGGTGAGAAGGGAGATGAGGGCTGTGCCTGGCTCATTGTTCTGTGCAAAGGGCTGACTTGATTGCACAGCAAGGATCTGTCTCAAGGCTTTTTGAGAGCTTTCCAGTCTGTATCACTGACTGTTGGGTGACATCATCCCCATGATCGGTAGCAGTAGGCACTAAAGGCCACAGGAGGGAGGAGAGGGTGAAGCTGCCTTCACAAAGTGAGAAGTTTTCATCATAGACCTGGTTCTCCTGAGGGACTTCAACAACCCCAACAGCTGTGGGGAGGACAGTGCGGGTGAGGGACAAGCAACCCAAAAGATTTCGTGGATGCCAGGGACAGTTTTTCGAAGGGAAAGCAAAGTTACATACTGAATATGTTTATTTTATTCTACCTGCAGCACAAGCATGGCACTGTGCCTGTACTTGCCTCTAATGTAATAATGTACTACTGCAACTGCATTTTAGGTGAATCGTTTCATACTAAGTCAACTTTGAACAACAGAAGTAATTCAAAGAGCATTTAAGCTCCTTCTCCACCCACTTCTGTAAAGTGAAGATGTCAATCCAATAGATTGCTCTTCCGATTGCTCTGTTTGGTTTTTAAAAACAAAAATCTCAAATGCAGGGAATGGCACTGAGAGACGTGGTTAGTGGGCACGGTGGGGATGGGTTGATGGTTGGACTGTTTGATCTTGGTGGTCTCCTTCAACCTTAGTAATTCTATGAATGCTTATACTATAGGAGACAGAACTATACAGTGAAATTTTCAACCATATTACTGATTTCTAAGGATAAAGACTGAGTATCTGAAAGAGGCATCTTACCTGTACCAGTGGGTGTGCAGACAAGGATGCCAGATCTGTGGAACTGCAGATCACATAAATCATACCTCTCTAGCTCCTTTACCTGTACAATTGCTTTCTAGTGCAGATGTCAACTAGACACTAGACCTAGACACTAAAAAAAATTGGCCTCAATTTGTATTTAGCTTTGAAGCATAATGCTTCTACTTCAGAGATGAAGAGGGGCTTGTATGTCTGGAAGCTTAAGAGGACTATTACAGGAAATTGTAGGAGAACTTGAGAAACACCTAGCCTGTTGGTCACAGGTGATGTGTAAGCTGAAACTCAAGTCTATAATTGAACCAACCAGAATAGGTTGGAAACCATTTTTTTATGATCCCTATATTGGCAGTTCACCAATATTTCACTGTTAGGATATTTATTACAAATACAACACTTGGTTGCATGTATGGAAACAACCATGCTATGCGCTTCAATAAGAGAAAAGCAGGAGTATATTTATTGATATAATATAATGTAGTGATTTAACTGTGACGTAATCAGGTTTGACCAACCAGATGGCTGGATACACCCAGTTATTTACTGCATAGCAGGTCGGGTTAAACACACACATAGAAAACTGTCCCACTGAGTCATGAGGGTTAGAGTGGACCCCATTGCTTTCAAAGCCCCTGCAACCACAGGGGTGAAGAGTCTAGGTGTGGCTGGATCCACTCCTAGCCCCAGACTTGATCAGCAGTTTGTGTCTAAGGGATCATATGTGCACAAAGATGCAATATTAGTAAAGCTAACAAAATCTAAAACAGTCACTTGCTGTGGATCTGTATCGGCAAGGTGTCTTGACATCAAGGTGTCCGGGATCTCTGTGCAGGTGTAACCTCAGAAGGTGTCCATACTTGAGGGGAGATCCCATCGTGCAGCCGTGGCCATGCAAGAGAGCTCAAGGGGACCGACTGTTGGGCTGCTCACTATTTTGGGGGTAAGACGATTGACTCCTAGTCATACTTTTAGGTGCCTGCTCAGATGGCCCTCAGCTCTTGAACCGGATGTCTGCTATCACTGCTATCAGCCCTCCAGTTTGAGACAGATCTGTGTTTGTTAATTTGTTTTAGAAAGTGTGTTATCAGTGCTGTCCATCATCATCTTCCTGTGCAAGGTGAAGGATGCAGTTGGGGAACAAGGAGGGGCAGCACTGTCACACCAACCATCTGTGCTGACCGTGAGCCTGGTTTTCCCCCTGTACTTTGGGAGGGGCTGAGCAACAGGCGCTGTAACTGGTGTTCCGGGATAACCGTGTGGTGATGGATTGGCAGGAGATAGCAGTCCCTTAGGGTGAATGTCCTCAAAGGAACACGAGCTCAGATGCACGAGTTTGCAGGCAGAGGTACAGAGGGATGCTTGATTTAACTGAGAGACCTATCTGGCTTTGCATTCTTCTGCTGTGCTGCTTGTTTCGCAGCTCTTACTGCAGGGCGAGAATTCCATCCCAACCCTGCCCGCTGTCAGCAGGCAGTACTGCCCCAGGTCTCCTATTTGTCCTGCGGCTTGATGCGCTGCTTAAAGATGGATCTTCATTCCTTTCTTGCGAGAAAACTTGCATGAAAGCGATGGGTCCACGTTAGGAAGCGGAAACGGAGGGCGTAAGCAGACACTGGGAACGAGCCAGGTAAGCACAGAGCTTCCCGTCCTCGCTTTCCGGACGGACAAGGGGAAGATCCAGCCCTCCCCGCCCGTACCCCGCACCAAAGGGGCCGTGCCGCGCCTCGCCCCCCGCAGCCAGGCGCGCTCCGGAGGCGGTGCAGCTCTCCCCGCCTCTCTGGGCCCCACCCCGCTGCCTGCCCGGCCGGCGGGGGGCGGGACGGAGGCGTCCCCCGGGCCGCCCTCTATCTAACTCCCCTTTTCGCCGGAGGTAGCGGTTCCTCGGGGTCGGGATGGAGGCGGCGGTGGCGCGGGGCTCGCTGGGCAGAGCGCTGTCCGGCACCCACCGCCAGGATCTGCCCGGCTGTAAGGCCGTCAGCGAGGCGCGGGTGCTGGTCATCAATACGGGCGGCACCATCGGCATGGTGCAGGACGACAAGGGTGAGCGGGGCGAGCCGGGCTGCAGCCGTGGGGAGCAGCGTTCTGCGGGCGGAGAGCAGGGGAAGGGAAGGAGGCCGCTCCTTGCGCCAGCTAAAAGCCCGGCTTCTAGCGGGCGAGCGGCACCAAAACGGGATCCTTTCTCTTCAAATCCCGCGTGTGTACCGGTGGGAGCGCATCCTTGTGAGCAGCGGCCCCTGGGCTGGGAGCGGCAGGGCACAGAACAACGTGTTTCCTGCAGCGCCAGTCCTTTCTCTCCACGCTCGCGCGCTGAAAATGAAACCAGCTTCATTCCACAGCTCACGTTGCGTATTTTTTAGCCCCAAAAGAATCGTCCCGGGCTCCGTGTCACGTAGGGTGATGCCGGGTTGGGGGTGTGGAGAGAATGGTAGTAGTTTGGTTAGGATGAACATAAGTTCTCTTTTCTTTTTTCATTACTTGGTAGGCAGCGCAGCGTCCCAGGGTGGCTGTAAGCTTCCAGCAATAGAACTAGGGTGCTCCTGTTACCTACTGCAGAGTTTCACGGTTGAAATAACATCTCCGGTATGCATCTGTAGGTTTCAAGCACTTAGGGTTTCACCTCTTGAGTTTTCTACACTATATTTGTTTCCTTCCTTCTTAGGCAATTGCTGTTTCTTGTTACTGTAGGGCACATGCTTCCCAGCATTGTTGTGCTTTGTTTTTTATGGCTGTTGTCACTGTGTTTAACCCATGAAATGAGCCTGAGGAATGACAGCTGCAAGAGGAATCCGTGTTTCGAGTGACACGTGGTCACTTTCCTCTATTTGCACTGCTGCTAACATCATTTCCTATTTCTGCTGGCTCAGTTTCCCAAACACCTTAAAAAAAAAGTCTCCATTCTTTTATGAATGAACTCCATAGCCTCTTTGGATCGTGTGCTTTATTTCTGTTGCCCAACATGTGTCAATCATTACAGCACATGCAAACAATCTGACAGTTCTGATCCGATGCTGCCGATGTGCTGCATCCCGCTGAGGGTTCCTCCTGCTTCTTCTGCACAGATCCAGCAGCAGAGCAGCTGGAGTGCCTCTTTAAGAATATTTGCCAGTCCATCGTGTTTAAACTGAAGCTGGTGAAAGGGCATGAGAAAAGCAGCATGCTTAAAAGGTTGGGAAAAAAAAAAATCCTCCACAATATGCTTGTTTCTTTTATTAATCAATACCTAGAAAACACCTGCTTAGAACCATAGCTCAAGCTGTGTTTTATTTCAAGCAAAGTAAACAGCAGTGAGTTCCTTGAGCAGCATGAAACTTTACAGCAGCAATTGAAGGGTTCAAGCAAGGCTCCCACCTAATTCCCATATAGGCTGCTCTTTTATGGCCTTTCCTCTTACTAGAAAAGATGGTATCATTTGTAAATGCTGACAGGAGGAGCTTACTCTCTGCAAAACACATCAGGCCAATGTAGAGCTGCCTCCATGTGCAGTGCAGGTTACAGTCACGTTCCCTGGGCTCGTTGTGCATGTATGGATGATTGTTGATTGCTGCCTGGTCTGCTGGTAAGATGGTAAGCCCACTGCAGGTGCTTTGCAGTTGATCTGTGCGCATGTGGCAACCTCAGCACCTCTCAGACCTCTTGAACTCCCTGTGGCCCTGGAGCTTAGCCCTGAGGGAGGCCTTTTCAGAGGATGGGTGCTCTCTGTTCACACAGTGAAGTGACAACCAAAGTCACTTGCAGCCTCTCCCAGCATTCCTGCTTTACATTCAAATAAGCCATCTCAATGCATGTTTTAGATTTCTTCCTTTTGCTTCCTCCTACTTCATTCCTCCCACCTCTTTTGGCTTATCAGGAACTCAGTTCAGAAGGATAATCCTGCTGCTCTGTGCAGTGAGGTTATTGTAACACTGATCCCCACGTCAAGCCCTGTTCCTCCTGGATTGTGCTTTCAGGAAGATCTTTTCCTCAGCCTTGAGTACTGCTCTCTTTCATAGCTTTTACCTCAAAAAATGAGAAAAGAAATCCTACCTAACAAACACAAGTGGGGCTAAGCTAAATCCCCTTAGAAGGATTACTTGGAATAGTCTTTCTGGGTAACATGGTTAATTTTCTGTCTTTTCTAGTTGTAGTAGACTGCTGAAGGTCTGACTGCTGTGGTCCAAATAGGACTCAACTCCTATGGTGGGTTCTTTGGGTGTCAGAAGCCTCCAAGACACAGCTGAATTGGAGTCTTTCAGCTCCCCCTTCTCTCCAACACAGGCTATAGGTTAACGAGACTGATAAGTAGCTGTTGCTATATTAGCTTTAGTACTGGAGCGAAACAGAGACCTCGGCTCCAGGTGAGACAGAATCATCCTTGTTCTTCTCACCATGGGGTTGCCCAGCTGCAGAGGAACAGGTCAGCAGCTGATGAGAGGCGTTTGGAGGAGTTGCATGACTTGCCTCTTCTCTGCAGGGGTGGAAGCTGCTACAAATGCTCGGTTAATGAGTTTGGCTCACAGAAGATATTTTCCGTGCATAATAAAGTAGAAGTGTTCTTAAAACTGTCGTGTTTGAGTTCCCCTGCGTGGCTCCTTGAAGCAGTGGAGCAGACAGTACTGCCAAATGTGGGTGCGTGCAGGGGATGGCGTTGGTTGTGAGCCAGATGTCTTTGGTGTGTCTGCAGAATCTCTGAAGGTTTGATCACAGTCAAGCAGGCACAGGAAATCCCATCGGATTTGTAAGCCAGAGATGAGGAACATTCATTGGGAAGAGATGTAACAATATTATCGTTCGTCAGCTCTCCCGCTCTTAGAACAAATAGGAGAAATAAGCTCTCTAATCCATTGCCAGTATTTAGAGTAAGGTGAACAAGGGAAAACAAAAAAACGCTGTGCTGCTGTGTGGAGCTTCAGAGCCAGGATGACTCTATATCCAAGTGCAGTGGCCATTTGTGAGTAAGCTAGGGACAGCTTTAATAGGAATAAGCAGGGGTTGTAACTGAAGCAACAAAACATCCAAAGCTGGAAGCACGTTGAGTATATTTTGTAAAACAAAATGTTCCAGTAGGAATCCAAGCAAAGCCATTCAAATGCTGTTGCCATCCTGCAAGAAAGCTGGCTATGAAAAGGCCTCGTACTTCATTTAGGGCAAGCCAGCAAAGAGATTAGGGCATTCTTAAGGGTTTTCCATCAGTTTGGAAAGTAAAGCAGGCTGCATGCACTTCAGCTAATGCTATTACTGTTTCTCTGTACTTTGGAATATTTTAAACTTGTTTGAAGATGAAATAATAAAAAAGATGTGAACTTGTGTGCAAATGGTGTTCAGGCAAACTGAAGAGCTGGGAAGTGGGAGAGTATTCTAGCTGTAGATGTCCTCGTTCCTTGGAGGGAAGTTGAACCAGGTGGGATGATTCTCTGATCATTTAGCCTCAAACTGTGACTGGCTGGAACTGGCAGAAGTTGAATTATGAGGTTTGAGAATTTCTTCGCTGTCAGAGCAGGTGAGACTGCGCAGATCTGGACAGCAGTACCAGTAGAATCTTGGAGTTCAGAAAGAAGTGCCTCTGCTTGAATACTGCAGTATAATTTTATAACTGGAATTGTTGTAATCTAATTGGAATACTGCTGATCCAGAAACTCCTAATGTGCTGCTGGCACTTAAAGATATAGGAGTTAATAAAATATATAATGTTCCACCTTGCTAAATTCAGACCATCTTCCTCAGCTTGTTTCAGCAGCCAAATGCAGACAACCTTCATCCTACCACTATCAGAGCAGCTGCAGGCTGAGTTTACAGTGGAACTCAGCTCTGTCAAACCAAATGTAGCATTAAACATTGAAGGCGCCTTTTTATCTAGTAGAGAGTAGCATTTGGATTCCTTTTGAAATACCTGGTTGCCCTCAGAATGCCTGCAGGTGCAGCACACCATTCATAGGCTTGGGCTGGTGTGGGCCTCAGCTATCTTCAAGATCGCTTCCACAGAAAGGAGGATGTCCAGGGCAAGGAGAGGGTGAACAGAGCTTAGGATGCATCCACACTTCCGTAGAATCATTAAAGTTGGAAAAGGCCTCAAAGGTCATCTAGTCCTCACGTACCTCCACTGTGTTAAGGTGTTCAGTCCTCAACCTGCTGGTGGAAAGCTCATGTTTCAGGGAGATGGGGAACTCAGTATTTAGGACTCACCTGGCAAGCTGCTATTTCTGTCTTTATAAACAGAGATCTTTTTCCGTGTCTGCCTATGCTCAATACCTAGTGTGGGATTTGTTCAGGCTTTCCCTTTTTTTCCCCTTTGTGCAAATGCTGTTGCTGCTGACAGTGAGACCTAACGCACCGCTTTTCTATACAGCCATACTGGCACCTTGCTGTCTGTGCCAGTACATCTGTAGGATGTCAGCTAAGGAGCTTAGGCAGAAATATCACAGCTCTGTAGTGCAAAACAACATCCATGTTCGGTAAATATCCTGCCACTGGCTAGAGGGTAGCTGTGGAAAATGCTGAAGAGAATGGTAGCTTTTTGCTATCCGTATTAGCACACAGACAACAATTTAGGTAAAACATAAACACTTGATACGCAGGGGATTTATAACCTTATTTCTGCCAAATAAAGGATTTATTTATTTATTTAAAGCCTGGAAAAGAGTAGCTGCACAGAGAGTTATTGATTACGTTGTTTTCACGTTCTGAGCTGGCAGCAGACTGTTAATGTTTCACGTAGGACAGGCCACAAGCTGGATAAACTGATTTCTTCCCCCCTTTTGGTGCTACTCACTACCTTCCATCCTTTATTTACTTCATTTATTCTTTTTTTTTTTCTTTTTTTTTTCCAGGACTTGCTCCTGAGGCCAATAAATTAGTAAGCAGCTTGAAGACGATGCCAATGCTGCATGATGATGCATATGCCCAGGAAACAAAACTGTGCAACCTCCATGAATTTCCGGATGCTACATTGGTGCTCCCGTAAGTATTTCTTCCCTGGGGAGAGGGAATTGTGTAGATTTTAAAATAATTGTCCCTGCAAACAATTAATATGGGGATTCTGCTATGAAATCAGCAAAAATGTTTATATTGACTTAAAAGTGGGTGGTGGGAGCGGGTTGATGGTTGGACTAGGTGGTCTTAGGGGACTCTTCCAACCTTGATGATTCTGTGATTCCATGATTGTAAAAGGAAAAAGCCCAGGGTGCCTGGTACTATGCGAAATATGAAGTGTCATAAAACTGCTTGAGAAATTACCCATAAATTTGTCAACGAGCAGACATTCCGGACAGCTTAAGTCCTACATTTTTTCTGGGTTTTTATATTAATGGGCTACTATGTAAGCATACAAATATTCCCAAATAGCTGGGAAAGCTGCAGATACAGCTCTGTGTGTATTATCTTTGGCATGCCTGATAAAGTAGCATCTAATTAATGCATCCATGAATAGGCCTCATGCTTTAATTCTGCAGGCCTTCTGTTGTATTTTTTTAAAACCCAAAAGCTGATTGTCTTTCCCAGATTTATGCAACATTATGATAATAGCTGATGGGCTTACAATTAATCTGCATTACTTCTTAACTCTTGGGCAATGATTAGTAAGCTTTTAGGTTTTATTTGGGGGGCAGTATGCTAATTTGAGATATTCCACAGCTGTGATGAATGACTGCTTCTGTAAACACGTTAACTTGGCACAAAGGGTGATTTTACAATCACTCAAGAATAAATGGGACTGTTGCTGTTTTGTTATAAGAGTGCAAATGGATATTCCTTAAACTTTATGGAAAAAATCAGAGCATAATAACAAATTGTAAGGTTTATTAATTTCTTTCTATTTTGTACTAAGGTCTCTGTGTTAAAAGTAACTTCTTAGAAGGCAGACAGCAGGAAGATGAATGAAGGGAAAATAATGAACTCCCAGCTGATTAATATGGTTGTGAACATACAATTTATGTTAAATCCAATGACTATAACAGGAAAATTTGAGATTTGTTCTGGTACTGTTATAACTGAATAGCTTTTAAATACTTCAGGGGATTTAAAATGTAACTGCACTGATATGCACATTGGACTCCCAAATATACTTCTTTTGGTGTATGTTTTCCACGAAGTGCAGAAAACCTTGAAACAGCCAATTCAGATCAAGAACTGAAGTTTAAAAAACAGTCCTGTCCTCTTTTTTCTGGCACTGCTGTGTGCCATTTGTGGAGGTCAGTCGTGGCAATCTGCCACTTTCTCTTTTGTGCTGGCTGAGTGATATTTTAACTAGGCAGCTGAGAAATAATGCAGCTTTCTGAAGGAAGAAAATGGGAGTATTTTGTGAACTTTGTGAAACCGTGTTGTAACTGTGACGTAACAACAAAGATACCAACCAATGATCATCCTTCTTGGAGAGAGGAGTCAAAAGCAGTAGAGTAGGCTGCTCTTGGTTGTGATATGCTGTGTGTTATTTAAGCAGCACTTCCTTGAGAAGCTCTTTTCACAAATTTTCCGCTGTCTTACAAAGTTGCTCTTAGGCAGCACGTCAATAAAGCAATTTTTCGTATGAGAACTTAATTACAGTAAGTCAGTTGTTTTTGAGTGATAACCCCATGTTGATTAAGTACTTTCTCTATTGTAAGCAGCGCTCACACAGGCTTCGTATGGGGAGTGGTTGCTCAGATTTTGTTAGGTGATTTATTTTTTATTGCATATTTTATGTTGTTATAAGCAAGAATAGCAAGTAGGGAAAAAACAGCACTTGCAGATGCTGAGGGAAGGCAATGAACTCTGTGCTCTAAGCACATCCATATGTTGTGGAGTATCATGGCCTTTGACTGTCTTACACTCATAGGAAATAAACGTAGAAGCATCAGTCACAGTTAAACAAAACTTTGCATCGTCATCAGGCAGTGGAGTAACATTGAGAATGCTCTGAAGGTGATGCTGTTGGCCGTGCTCCTGGATGGCTTCGCTTGGAAGGGAAAGTAGAAAGGGCTGAGCTGGCCTGCTAGTAGTCCTGATATGTTAGCTGCTTGTTTGTCATCACATTTCTAAAGACAAACATATTCTGACTGTTAAGTATATATCTGTTTCTCAGGGTTTTTTAAATGCTTTTTTTCTTGTCATTTTAACCCTGTAGCAGACAGTATGTCTGTGTGTTTTAGTGACATGAGTTGTGGTCTTTCTCATTCCTAGCTTGAAAATTTCCTTTAAAATGCTAACATAAGAACGTGTGAAAATGGTGGATATTCTATTATTTTCCAAGCTTCAAGAAGGTAGCAGAAAATAGTTGCAGTGGTGTTCTTTTTTTTACCCCGAACCTTGTAAGTAGAAAAGCTCAATTTATATGCACTTGGCTATATTGATGGGTTAAAGAAGGTGGAGAAAAGGGAAGTTTCATGGGGGTAGAACACCTGCTCTGTTTGTAGCCTGTGTAGCTGGCAATTCAGAGCTCTTGGAAGAGTCAGATTTCAGATGAAGAAAGGGAGATGGATGGTCTTTGGAGGCAGGGAGAGCAGACAGCTATAACAATCCCACTGGGATTACACAGTCATTTTCTCCTTAGACACTGAAAATTCACAGAATCACAGAAAAAAATTCCCCTCTAAATTTGGAATTTTGCACTTCTAGATAGCTCTTTTTTCTGGTCGTCTTCTGCTGGGCTTCATGCTATGTGAAGTTTGAAAGCATTGCATTCCTCAGCCCCACAAGTACTTGACTTTTTTTTATACTTGCACAGTTGCTTTGTCTCATCTGCCTTGCACTGCGAGAAGACTCTTCTCAGTTATCGAGGCTGCACTTGTGCAGTAGCCAATGACTGATTACCGGTGGGGCCACTGTTTCCAACTATGCCAGTATTTTAAGATCTTTGATATTATTTCGTGCTTAAAAGTCCACATCATTCACAAGAGATGTCCGGTACCAACGGTGTCAGATGTTAACAGGCCCGGTAGGCCAGGACTTGAGGAAGGTAACCTAACACTAGGAAACTGTGGGTCATTTGGCAACAGTTTACTTGATGGTATTAGATAAAAAAAAGGAAACATTTTCTGAAATCTGAAGTCAGAGAAACCAAGGGAAGTAAGCTTTGTAAAAGGTATAGAAATAAAGGGCAGTCCTAAGACTCTGAAGAGAAGACTCCCTTCGTTGCAAGGAATTTGTAGCTATCACAGCATTAAGCAGTTGTTGAAACTCATCTGTGAATCCTCTGTGTATCTTGGGAGCTTTATTGAGATTCCTCTCAATAGCTTAGGAAGCATTTTTGAAACCATAAGGCTAGATATGAACTTACGTTAGAACTCAATTCCAAACTTAAACAAAGTGACTCTGCATTATTCTTACCTGCCTTTGTTTCTGCCAACTTCTCCCCACCTCCCAAATTCTAAGTTTAGTAAGTTGAAGTGTTTGTACTTCAAACCACATCAAGTCATGAGTTTCTACACTTGGAACTTAATGTTTCAAATGTAAGACCATTTCCTTGGCTACAGACTTGCAGATACAGGGAGAAGTTACTGCTTTAGTGAAAAAAATGAGAGGCTATGAGCTGCTGTTAGTTCTAGTAGTGATTTTTTCCCCTGAATTATCTTTCTTTTTAGTGTCTCTAAGCAAAACAAAAGAATTTTCTACACAATCCTGGAGCTGTCACCACTACTTGATTCTTCAAACATGACACCGGAGGACTGGGCCAAAATTGCAAAGAAACTTGAGGTATGGTGGTGTGGGATAAAACTTCATTTGCTGCTAAAACAAAACTAGCACTGTGTTTAGTACACTTAGCAAGGTATAACAATGTGGAACTCCTATAATTAAAGTTTTAATGTCATCCCTGTTTCTTAGTTAACTGTAAAGCAAGAAGTACTGTGCTTGCAAAGCGTGCATTTTGAAAAGGCTGCAGACTCATTTGTTACGTAGCTCTTCCTGTGACAAGCCATAATTCTGTAAAATGAAAAGAAAAATTGCAGCTGTGATTGAATAAGATATGTAATATATAGATTAATATGTTATAAAATGTTGGCTTCGATTCACTGTGTCAAGTGTCAAGTAAAAAGAAAAGTGTCAAGTAAAATCCTTAGGTGCAGGTAACTTAGCAGAAGGTTGTATAGTTATACAGCATTTGAATGTTCTGCTAGATGAATGGTTAGCTCTCAGTGTAGGAAATAATTTCATATGCCTTTCTTACTCAGACACTGTCCTGACTAGCTTTGGTTTTGCAACCAGGAGAAAAAGCATTACCAAGGTTGGCTTTCACACACTGGGAAATGATCAAAGCCCTAAATATTTTTGTATAGACAGATAAACTCATTATATACTTCTCTAGATTAAGAGCATTTCTCTGCTTCTGTTCCCATTTCTTAACTAGGTGCTTTAAAGAAAGCAGAAATATGAAACATTTCAAATACTTCATACCAGGAATTCATATGTAGCTGTTAGCAGTAAGTAACCTAAGTGGGCCTACAAAGACTCTGCTCTTCCACTCCTCCTCATTCTGCAGTGGTGTCTTTGTGTTGTAGGTCTCCTTCCACCAGGCTGTACCTGTTTTCACTAAGGGTATAATAATACTGGGAATGCTACTGAAGGTTATGTAACAGTCTTTGGCCTTTAGATCCTCTAATCCTGAAACCATCAAAGTAAGGGAGATGCTTCACTTATGGAATGCATCTTGACGGTTCAGAGAAGAGATGGAGAGGGTATGGAACAGGGATGCAGCTGGGAAAAGCCCAGGGCTGAGAGTAGGGTATCTTAAAGAAGGCAATGCCATGTTGAACAGGAGAGAATTTACCTTTCTTCCTTAATGGGACATCAGTTTTTTTACAGCTTCTCAAAAAATGTGTGCAGAATACGGCTTCTTTAAATCCAGTACATGCAATCCAAGTGAAAAGTGCTGAGAAGGAAAAAAAATTCCTCAGCTATCCAGCTTGTGGCTAGACACTGCCACGTTGTGTTCATCCTCAGTGCTTCCTTGGTGCAGCTGTAACACGTTGGAGACTTCTCAGAATGGAACACTCTAAGTCATTTCTTTGGGATTTTTCCTTAGTGAACAGGCTGATCTTTTGTATGGTGAAGGTTAAGACAAGCTGTGTTCTTTATCATTTAATAAGATTCACAAGGCTGACAGTATTAGAGAAGTGTACAGACTGAATTAGATAGGACAGGCAGCTATTTCTGTGATTTTAGCCCTTGGAATTCACTTATGTTGATTCAGCATTAATGAACACAGCAGCACGCTTTATGCATCCCAGTTCCTGGCCTGCAGAAAAATCTTGCAGAGTTGGTTGTTCTGTGGGCTAACCATTGAGAAATAAACAGAACTCCACTGAAACTTTCAGTAGATAGCAACATGAAGGGATGAGTATTGGTGAGGAAATAGTAAAGGACAAACAGAAATGTATGGGTGGATTAGGAGCTGACCATAATAACAGGAGATGCCAAGTGTGTGTACCCATTGTAGTATAAGAAATCTACTTCATAAGGAATCTGATTTAATTCTATGCAAAATAAAAAAAATTCCCACTGGAACTTTTTGTATTTGCTCAGACTGCTGTATAATCATGTCCATGTAAACCAAATTACATTAGAGACATCAGTTCCTTTGACTAAAGTGTTTACCACGTGCATTGCTCTTAAAATAGAGGAACCAATTCCTTTCTCCTCTGAAAGCCAGCTGATGATTTTATTCCATCAGGACGAAGAGTAATTAATGGCTTTGCATTAAAAACTTCCTGTGTAGAACTGTATGTAGATTGCATCACAGAATCACAGAATTGTAGAGGCTGGAAGGGACCTCTGGAGATCATCCAGTCCAACCCTCTGCTAAAGGAGTTCCCTACAGTTGGGCAGGAAAGCATCCAGGTGGATTTTGAGTATCTCCAGAGAAGTAGACACCACCACTCTCTGGGCAGTCTGTTCCAGTGCTTCGTCACCTACACAGTAAAGAAGTTTTTCTCATGTTCATATGGAACTTCCTGTGTTTTTCAGTTTGAGTCCGTTGCTCCTTGTCCTGTCACTGAGCATCACCCAGAAGAGCCTGGCCCCATCCACTTGACTGCCATTCGTTATTTATAAGCATTGATAAGATCCCCTCTGAGCCTTCTCTCCTCCAGGCTGAACAGTCCCAGGGCTCTCAGCCTGCCCTCACACAGGAGATGCTCCAGGCCCCAGCCATCCTTATGGCCCCTGCTGGACTCACTACAAGTTCCCTGTCTTTCTGGAACTGAGGAGCCCAGCAGTGCCACAATACTCCAGATGTGACCTCGCCAGGACAGAGCAGAGGGGCAGATCACCTCCCTCACCGTGCTGGCCACACTCTTTTTAATGCACTCCGACTTCATAAAGTCATTATAAAATGACTTATTTTTTTGCATCTGTTCGTGCCTGGTTCTAAGGCAAGCACGTGTACCTTACCGTCAAACAGAAACGCCCTCTTCAGCTCGGGAGCTGCAGGAGTGGAGTACTGCTTGAGAAGTGATGACGTTGAAACAGAAGAGGGCACTCTTACACTGGCAATCTGCCTGGCTGCCAACCGGATTACACGGGCTGTTTTTTTCTATATGTACATCATGGTAGCCTCGATTTGCCTCTTCTGTTCCTGTAAATGATGTAATCCCCTCAGTGAAAGCAGCAACAAGAAATCAGACCATGCGACCGATTTGCATATGTTAACATTCCTGTTTCGAGCCATTGCTAAGCTTTTCTTAATTAGCAGTCTTCTGGTTTAAAAATGCTGCATTAATATGTATACATAGAAAAATCTCTTTGACTGTTCCTTAATTAGAATTACAGCTGTAGTGTTTATTGTCCTATTAACCCTTAATTATGTTTAAACTCAAAATGTGGATATTTGAGGAGGAATTACCCATGTGGTACCCTTTAAAGTATCACACTGTTGCTTGCATCAGTGAAAGTCGTGCAGTCCATCCGTCGCTTTGATGCCAGTGCATTGTTCTAACAGCATGAAAAATGTCTCTCCGTCTCCAGGAGCACTATGAAAAGTATGATGGCTTTGTGATCCTCCATGGCACTGACACAATGGCATACACAGCTTCAGCCTTATCCTTCATGTGTGAGAACCTGGGTAAAACTGTTGTTCTGACAGGATCGCAGGTAATGGGCTTTATTTGAAATAAAACTTCATTTTCTGTTTTTGTATGCAAAGCTACATCGAATCTTGACTGTCATTATGACTTTTAGTAGTGCAGGACAGGCCTCTCGCCAGGGTGATGCTCACAGTGCTGTTAGAAATCATTGAGAATTGACAGGCTTACCAGCTGAGGATCTGCCCCATAATTTTATCATTAGTGACTTTACAACTCCATACCACATCAGACCAGTAGTTCATTATGGTCGGAGCCAGATGCTTCAGAGAAAGATATAAGAGCCTGTCATTGGCCATTGTGTAATAATCTGTTTATATGAGAGGCATTCTTCCAGCCTCAGGTGGCTGCTGGTTGTTAGCTGTCTTTTTTTTTGTTGTTTGTTTTAAAGCCCTGAAGCTTATTACTTTTTACTTCATCGTTTCTTAGCCCATCTTATGTTACTCATTGTTGCGTTATTTCTCATTTTTTACAGTCTCTCAGCATTGTATGCATTTTTTATCATTTTGTTCCACGAAGCATCTCACACAGTCTGTCTTTTCCTCTAAAGACAAGATTTATTAATTTTCATTCTCTTAGCTGGAGATCAGACCTTTGCATATTGTCAGAGGAGGAGGGGTTGTCTTACTAGAATAGCTTGCTTGAGTGTAAAATACAGCTCTAATCTAGTCACAGAAGAGAGATGAAACATAGCACTGTAAAACCCTTCTCCAGCATCTTGTAACTTCCCTTTTACTTGTGGTCTATTTGAAGTCAAAATACAAAAGTCTAGGAAGGAGTAGGCTGCCACTTAGTGACTTGACGTGGAACAGTCCAGTTGTGGTACATCATATTCAAGGTTTTACTATTTTTTTTGCTTAATTATTTGGGGAGCTGCCTGGCATGATCTAGCAATAGAGCATGTGACTTTTTTTTTTTTTTTTTGCTGAAAGAAGCTCTGACTCTTTGTTAATAAAGACACAATCTGCAAAGGCATGGAGGTCATCCCTGTCATTCAGCAGACCAGATTTCTGCTTTTAATCTTGTTCATTTCCGTCAGTCACAACCTGCTGGCTCAGGTCTTGTATACTACTATGAGGAAAGATGGTGCAAGAGAGCTGTTCTGAAGCCATAGAGGCAGTTCTGTATGAACTGAGACTTGTTTCTGTACTAGCACTTCTCCCATGTTCAGTCACGTAAACTGAGCTTGCTTGCTTTATATTCTTGATATTTTTCCTTCTAAAAACAATTGCTTAATCATACTAGAATCATCTCTACATTATCTTTAAGCACTTGCATTATAGAAGCAGGATAAGCAGAGGGGAAACCCCACCTTCTGCTGTAGTTTAAAATAGTTTGGATGAAGAAGTAAACTTGTCATAAATCATTGTTGTATGAATTATTCTTGTATCTCTATTACATAAGTTGGATTCTTTTTTTTTCCTGCTGTCTAGGCTTTATGAAAGGGATGGGGTTTAATTTCATTCTCTACTCTTCAGGTGCCTATATACGAGTTGCAGAATGACGGCCGAGCCAACCTTCTGGGGGCACTGCTTTTTGCTGGGCAGTTCGTGATTCCCGAGGTCTGTTTGCCTGTGAAGACCATCTTGACAGCTGCTCTTCTCCCTCTAGTTAGGAACTCATACTTAAATACTCAAAATATCTGGTAGGATTTGCACTTGAAAGGGGAAGGAAAAAAAAAAGATTCTGCTGAGGTAACAGCCCCTTGCATGGCAAAGCACACACTGTTTTCTCAGGATTAATGCCTCATTTTGCCTGTGTGCAATCTATAAACACTATCTAGTCTGAATTTTAGCTTGCAGCAGACTTGAAATCAGAGATTCCCTTACAAATGCGTGGGATCTGAAGCATTTCTAAGTCAGTTTTTGAACTGAAAGTTACTTTGAAGTTCTTGAGTTGCGCTAGAACTGATAGCAATATCTTCTAACTCTAGTACCTGAAGACTGAAGTGTCAAGGATGATACACATAATAAACATGGGAGCATCTCCATGGTCTCAGCACCCTGCTTTTAAAGACAATGATGCTATGCAAGCCAAAAATCTGAGAGAAATCTGATCAGGCTATTCCTTATTTAACTTCTGCCATGCTTACCAGTCTTTACAGGATATTACAGCAAGGCCAAGATCTTCATAACTAACAGCAACTTTGAGGTATCTGTTTTTGTTCAAATTCCAATTGACTTACTTTTAGGGGCTTGAAAAGAAACCAATATTATTTATATTTTTGAAAGTTATCCTTCATTTCTACTAGGCCTTTTGTTAAGATTTGGGACTCTGAATTTAGATGTAAGTGTGCACAAATTGTCTACACTGTTCCTTTCCTCTACCTCTGGACTCAGGCAAATTTGCTGTCTCCTAGACTCTACTTCATAAGAGGATTATGAAACTAGTTAGCTCTTAACCTATTTTCTTCTTCTTAAATTCTTAAACCAACGTGCAACAGATGTGCCAACTCTTTTTTAAAGGGTAGGAGTTGTAAACATCTACTGGCCTCTGAGTAGTTTTAAAGATTTAGAAAACACTTTATAAAGGACAGACTATAGTATTTATCTACTGAATCTTTTAATTACTGGCTTATTCATAGACCTGTTTCTTTACTTGTTTTGCAGGTGTGCCTGTATTTTTATAATAAACTGTACAGGGGAAATAGGGTGACTAAGGTGGATGCTGGGAGTTTCAATGCCTTTTCCTCACCTAACCTGCCTCCACTTGCAAATGCTGAGGTTGATATTACAAGTAAGCAACATCCTCTCTTAAGCCTTGTAATTTATGCCACATGTAATAGAGCTGTAGCTGAAAAGAATCTGTGCCTATGTAGTTGAAATGCTGTTTTAAAACTCAAATATGTTTGAAAGCACTGTGTTTTGACTCCACTTTATATGCTCTGAAACTTCAAATATTAGTAGGACTGAGAATTTGTGAACTCAACTGTATTTATCTCTTGAATATAGATGTGAGCTGGACAGACTTTGACTCAAGATGTAGACTAACCAAAGGGAATTTTTCCCTTGTGTCATGAAAATGCTTGCTCTGAAGATAAAAATGAGTGAGTGAGGATTGAAAGAACAAAGAGTTTACTCTCATTAATGACTGTGCTGGGCTCTGAGATCAGGCAAAAGAGTCATTATTGAGTACATGCCATTTCAACAGATCGTCTGTTTGATGCATGACATTTTGTAAGATGTTTTACTGGATATTTAGAACCTGTCTAAACTGCAGGCAAACTGAAAATTATGCTTTGTGTGAAGTTTTTTTTTTTTTTTTCCCTGACTTATGAAGACTCCTTGTAATTTGTATGTCTCTGCTTGAAAAGGAGGAGAAAAACTACAGAAAGATTTCATTACCTGTTTGTAAAGGTGTTAGCATTCTGGTGTTGGTTCTTGAACATTGGTTCTGTTTCTTTGGAAAGGAGAGAAAAGAAACCCATTTAGAGTCTTGCCAAATGAGGGGCTGTCAAAAAAACAAACTAAAGGACATTTTTCAAAAATACGTTGTGCTAGCTGCTTTTGGATATATTTTAGAAGGTAGAGTCCTTGGTGACAGTCTCCATTATTCCCACAAATAAGAAGTAGATGGAGGTTCACAAATTCTTTTGCTAGGAGCTCTAGATTTTGCAGCATGGTGTTCTGAATGGTGTCTGCTACTAGAGAGGGGCATTCTGTAATTTGGAAAAATAAATGTACCCCTTCAACCAAATGCATGGCAGTCACTTTAAAACATTCTAGGGTCAAAAGGGCTATGTTTATAGCAGGGCCAGATAAACTAAGGAAACCTGTAAAATACTGTAGTGATCTGTAAGACATCTCTCTGGTAGAGAGTTTGCCACTGTAGTTTTACTGTGCTGCGTCAAACACTGAAATGCTGTCAGCTGATTGTTTTAGGAAATTGAGGAAAGTCTTCTTTCTTGGGTTTTTATGGAGTGCATCAGATAGGTTATAAATAAAGTCAGTTTACTGGCTGATCGATAATGAAATCAGGCTGCAAATCACATGCCATCTTTCTTTTGGATTTAAATGACCTGTTTTGTGATTCCTTATCTAGGGGAGAAAAATGAAAGTTCCTAAGTACTTTGCTTGGCCCATGTTTTGTCCCATTATCTTTTCGGTAGAATGCCCCATTGAGGTCGGTGAGGATTTCTGAGTTAAAAACTGATGGTGTGATAGGCTCTATTTTTATTTGTTTCAGTTGATTACCCAGTGAGGGTAGCATCATTTATCCAGGATGACGGTGTCAGAATTGAAGGATTGTTTCATTCTGGAAAACATAGTGTATAGTATGGGCAATCTACCAGTGCTGCTTTATTTTGTCCAAAGTGATTGTTTGAAACATAGCTGTCTCCCTTGTGTTTGCTCATACAGTCCTAGTATGAATATTTCACAGAGACAAGGAACCACTCAGGGCTTTTAGAAACAAACCAAACAAATCTAGTGTCTTTTAATTCTTTTTTTTTTTCTAGATCACTTTGTGTAATACCTCTTAATCTTCCTGTAGACTGGGTTGACTCTTGCTGCTTCAGCATTATGTAGAGCAGCCTGACAACGCCAGAAGGAATAGGCCATGTGCTCTTCCTGGGGCTTCCTAGTTTGTAACAAAGCTGGGAATGAAAATTCTGGAGAAGCAGAGAGGGAATGGGTGGCAAGATGTAGGGAATGAGGAGCATGATGGGATAAGAGCTTGAGATCATGGGCTGGTACACAGGAACAAGGAGAGGAGATGTGTTTTAAGATTAGACATACCATGTAAAGACAACAGAGTCAGAGAGGAGAGGGAGAAGCTTAGTTCGTTTCCCCTCCCTGCTCTAACTACTGCTCTCTTCATTTTTTTAATCTCCATTTTTCCCCATCTTCCCCCTCAGGTGAAACTCCCAGATTTCTGTTCCCATCACCTGACAGATTCTTGACCTAAGAGTTCTGTTACCGAATTTTAGACTGACAAGTGTGGCAGCCTCCTCAAGATGTGGCAGCCTCCTTTCAAACCAGCACACAAAACTCTTGACAGAAGTGAAAAATTTGAGCAAACTCCTGAGATGAATAGGAAGCCTCATGTTGGTGGGAAATGCTTTTGCAAGAAAACTGTTGGAAATGAACAATAGAGAATCAAAACCCAATATTTCTAAATGTGTGCAACTTATGAAATGAAATACCTTGTCATATTTCTCTCATGCTTTGAAAACAAAAAGAGATGAGGAGGTCTGTTTCTTATGAAATGTATGAGGAGTCTCAATATATTTCATAACCGAATACTGTCCTCTGTTCTCTCTTGTCTTAATGAGGCAAATATGAAACCTGCTTTGTTACCATGACTGGACTTTCTTCATCATGCATGCATGTAACTTCTGGGAGTGGTGCATATGTGCAGGACCGTATGATTAGAAACATAACTTGTGTAGGGGATGAAAAGAGTCTGTGCCTGTGTGTGCAGGTGTGGTACAGCAGCAGCAGGTTGGAAGGCCTGTAGTCTCGTCTACCCACCAGTCTCATTAGAGAGAAGCTATTTGCCACTGGCCAAGTCTGTCTTGGTTGGCAGTTCTGGTTATTTATAGTAAAAAGCCCAAGTCATTTATGCATTAAGGCAAACGCCAGCTCTGCTCACTGAAGTACTTTTGGTGTTTTTCCCCCTTGTAAGTAGGCATGTTAATGCTTGCAGTTATACCTTTCCATTTAAATATTCATTTCAAAAGGTGTGTGTCAATTGTTTTATAATAAACTGCCAAAAAAGGGGGTCTAAGCTTGCTTGCCTCCATCAGGAATTTCCACCCATAGGTTGGCCTGTGTTCCCCACCCCTTGGCTGTGGCCATGAATTCTAATGAACACTGGCGTAGCTTATATAATGGCATGGCTCACTGGTAGCCTTACAGAGAGGGATGAGAAGAAAGCGTTGCTGTTTGTCTGGAGCTCTGCAATCAAGAAAAGCTGCATTTCTTGTTTGATTTCATAACTTGGAGTTCAGTCACCACTCATAAGGGAAGAGTCCCTCTGAGTTACTGCTCCCCCATTATAAGTTGAAACCTGCACTGTAGAACAGGCACTATTAAAAGAAGGGGTTTTCTGCTTTCTTCACTGTTTGGAGCTGCTGCTTCTTTTTTATTTTGTTTTTCAGATAGGTTATTGTTGCTGGTTTTTTTCCACACTAGACCTATCTCATGTGTGGGTACGTGTAATGCTGAATAAGATAAGGACTCTAAAGTTGTGGGTTTTTTTTTTTCTTGAAGGAAAAATGGTTTTGGTTGTTTCCTTCTGCATCACTGTTCAACCATAGGATGTGAAGGAAGCCTGAGATTTTTCTTAGCAGTCCTCTGACAGAAGTTGCCTCTTCATGGACTGCTGGGTACCTTCTGTTCCCATCCTTGCACTAGTGAGCTCAGAAGAGGAACAAAAGCTAGTCAGGTTTCAAACCCCTATTAGTTCACTTTGTGACTTAAGTGTATGCTTCTCTTTCAAATCTGTTTTTTGGCCTGTAATTTGAAAAGCTGTAGTGTTTGGGAAGGAGAGAGGGATTGCGAGCAGCGGAGTATTGTTTGTGTTTGCTTTGTTTGGAAAAACAAACAGAAGGCCTTTAATACTTTGAATATAGCATCCTTGAATAATGCAACCTTTTCTGTCCAAAGCCATTCTCAGTGCAGGATAGAAATAGCCGCTACCTTTCTGTTTTATGCTTTAAAAATGTTCTCTCTGTTGTGCGAGACCAGTAGCTAACTTAGGTTTGTTCCCCAGCATTGCATCCATATTTACATAATACAGCAGACTATACCAGTTAAACTTTTTACACGCACAGCCCATCCAAGTCAGGACAGGTTACTTTCTTCTGTTGTGCCTATTGTCTGTATCCCTACTTAGTCAGTCTTACGCACCTATCCGGGATAAAAACTGTTATGAACACCAACACATAGAGCTTTTTGTACTTCGCCTGTAAGAGGTTTTTTATTTAAGAACTGTTAGTGACTGCTAAGATTGTTATTACTTTTATTTAATCACTACAGTGCTGCCACTGGCTGCAGGATGGCTACTTTATTCGGTACAATGAAGATGCTTAACTTAATTATGTTGTCTAAATATTCTTCCTTTTGGGGGATATAATCTTTGATGTGGAGAATGCAAAAGATGTGTTCTAAATGTGTCTTTTTTTCCTCCCCTGTGTAGCTTCACTTAGAACAGTCCTGAATAAATCTGAGGTGAAGTTGAGCTTTTATGAAATCTGGGTGGTTTTGTGGCTCTTGCATCACTGTTGCCTTTTGTTCCGCTTTTTAAGCTCATTTGTCTAATGGAAATCTGACATCTGTAGAGTCTGCAGTACTGAGCACATTATGTAAACTGAGGAGATTCACGACTAAGAGAATGTTAACTCAGAGACAATCTCTATTCCTTTTTTAATATAGTTTAGAATTGCATCACTCTACTGCATCTGACTGCATTATATTAATCTTAAAGGCTACGTGTTATTTGGTAGAATGTACTCCCATGAGTACAGGTATAGGCCTGGTGTAGTCTGGCTTTTGAACCTATCCTCTGATCTCTCTCCTTGGTCTTCTACTTTGGGCAGCGTGTTATGAAGTTAGGAAACTTGCCATGCTGGTTTCCTCCATTCATTCCTCAAGTTTGTTGAAGACATCAGGGATGCTAGCTATTGCCAAATGTAGCAGCATGCATTTGTGAAGTTTTGGCAGGGAGTCCCAGCTTATGGGGGATAATGAAACCATTAGGAGTTTTACTGCTGTCCCTTCTTACAGAGAAAGCTGCTTTTAAATAATCAATCTGATTGTTAGAAAGTTGAAACAACTGAGTTTATTGCTAACGGCTGCTTCTTAAAGCACAGTGCTCAGGAGTGAATGTGATTAGCCTATTCTATGAACCTCAGGCAGAATTCTATGATTCTATGCACTTGCCCGTTTATCTCCTCCACGTGTCTTAACTTATTCCAGAAAGTTACTGGGCCAACTACTAGCTCCAGCCAAGCAATTCCAGAACCGTACTGTCCAGCTTCTCAAAAACGAGCTGTGGAAACTGTCTATATTTCTATTCTCCCTTCCCGGAGCACTAGTGATACATATACTGAAGTACAGAAGGCAGGGTAAACATGATGCCAAGCCAGCTGCTTTGTATGATTGCTTTTTTGTGTGGGTTTTTTTGTTTGTTTGTTTGTTTTTAGAAAGAGGCTGTAGTTGTTAATGGGCACCTCGAGGAGGGCTCATAAAGTCTTACAGGTGACTGCTGTTTTTCTGTCCTGGCTGAAAGGACAGTGTTCTTTTCAGTATCTCTGGTGATGGGGCAATAGAGTAGGCTTCAGTGCAGGCTTCTAAATGTGCTTTGAATTCTCTTGCAAACGGCTGTCTGCTGATTGCAAGAGATGTTAACAGTAATTAGTCTGAGTAACCCTTATCGTGGCTCAGTGCGCATTCAGGCCTTTTATCTATATTGCTGCTCAGGGATTTTGCCAAAATCTAAAAAGCTTAGATCACAGTAAGGAAACAGGTATTCAGCAGGGTCTGCTTCCACTGAAGCATGATGCACTGAGCTGCTGGCTGTTTGTTAAACTTCCTTTGCAGGCTTGTAGCAGCCGTCTGCACTACTGAAGTTGTAAAATTTTGAAATCAATAATGCATGACTTGGCTTCTAATAATACAGCACAAACAAACTATTAGTTAAACAGCTGGCTTCTAGCTCTAAATGTGTAATCGGAGTTAATTGAATCCTTGCTATTTTATTTAATCATTAGTAACTACATAATAAACTCAGGAGGTGATTAGCAGGAACACTAAATGCATTTCTCATATCTCTTGTCTGAGAAAATGAAGGTCTATTTTCTAAGCTTTAATCCAGGCTGATATCAGTCCAGCTATATAACAGTAGGTTCTGATCAACGTGTGATAAGTCAGTATATATCAGTGAGTTAGTTGAGACTTCCTGACCACTCTGAAATTGGGGAGCTGATGCCAACAGGACTTGTACTCAAATGGCTTTTGCAGCTAGCAGACTTTTCTTCTGAAGGCATTGTAGTCGGATGAGTGGTCATTGAACTAAAATGTCTATTTTGGAAGCCTTAGCTGTAAAATGCTATTAAATTTAAACAAGTGTACTTAAATATCTCCTTGAAGGGCACTAACTTAGAAATATTGACAAGTGATACTGATTTATCTCAGAGTCTACACTACTTTGGAGTTAAAGCTAAAATATAACACAGTTGAGTTTGACCTGGAAATGGCCTTAAAGACACATCTTGTGGCATGTAATAGGTAAAGCGTGTTAGATCAGCTGCTAGGGCTGCTGTCTTAAATGACTCTTCATTTCCTCTTTTAAAAAATATATTGTCTTTCATGAGTCCCCTATATAAGAAATAGTTTTGAAGATACCACTGTAAGTATGAGGTGCTACAAATGTACTTTAATGTTATGTCTTCAGTATTATACTGAAAAGGCCACTTCTCTTTTGCAGTAAACTGGGAAACAGTATGGAGAGCCAATACCAAAAAGAAATTTCGAGTTCATACCAATATGAACAGGAACGTGGCGCTTCTGCGAATATTCCCAGGAATAACTGCTGCTGCTGTGAGTGCCACCACGGAGGTTTGGAAGTGGATGAAATGATGCTCAAATACTTGATTAGTAAGCTAAGTGGGGATGCTACGCTGTTGTAGCAGTGGTTGGGTTCTAGAAGGAAGGGAAATAATCTGCTTTCTGATAAACATTTTCTGTAACATCAGAGCATTCAAAGACTATTTTCATGGGCTACAGTCTATTAGTAAAACCTTTCAGAGTATCTTTTATCTAAACTTTCTGGGCTCTGAAACTTAAAATTAATTTCTTATAAGGGCTTATAAATAAATAGATGAAGTGTGCTTTTCTGGAGAAGCATAAGCTTCAGTGATGGTGGAAATGTTTCTTGCTGCATATTAGGGCACACTAATACATACCTTGCCAAAGAATACATGATTGTGGAGGTGAGTGTGATTTCTTCCACAGCTCATGCTTGCTTCAAGGTTCATTTCATCTCATACTGGTGGTTAGCATGATTCTCAGCACTCATACAGAGCTCAAGATGAGGAGTAGGATTTTCCTGCTCTGAGCATTTAAAAATTGTTTTACAGAACTATGGGTTTAGGTGAATTTGTCTTTAAATTTTTGTTTAGTACCACTTCCATTAAATTGATGGGTCTTTCACGAGTGTTGCCAATTTAAATTGAATCCAGTAGTTTAAGAAGCACTCCTCAGTTATATTACCATTCTTTTTAGGTGAATATGAACAGATGGAAAGGCAGAGAGGTGGTATATTTGCAATAAAACTCCAACAGAATAGCTAGTCTCACGGGGACTTAGTGTATTGTGTTTAGCATATGTGATCAGCGAGGAAACGTTTAGATTGTATAAAATTTATTTTTCTAGGAACAAAAATTAGCAAGGCATTCTCTTAGAAGGAGGCACAATAGCTATCACGTTAACAGCAGTCCCAGAAAGATTTTGAACCTGCATTAAATCAATTGCTTTTTGAGTTAAAAACAAAACAAAACCTCCATGCCTCAGTAGAGTATTCTTTCCTGAAAGGTGAGACACTCCTTCTCTTAGTTAGGCATATATTCGTTTGCAGAACTTTGCTAAAATGAAAAATCTGGGCAGTGGTGGGAGTTCTAGATTGGAATAATTCTGTATTTATTTTGTAAGTGCAAATCTACCCTTTTGTTCCACCGTGGTGCAACATTATAGCCCGTTAATGGCCCTTAAACAATAGCATCCTTTCTCACACTGAGGTCACAATCGTGGAAAATAGTTTATTTTAAAATCTATCCCTGTAGGAATTTGAAAGGAAAATAAGAATTTGGAATGCACATTTTTTTAACGTTTTTCTTCAGTCCTTGTTATTGCAGACGAGGAGTACAGAAGGGCATGGGAAGACTTAGGCATGAGAGCCTATAAGACTGTACCAGGAAAAGCCTACTTTTTATAACAGCCATATAAGAAAATCTTAATGTGATGTAAACACAGCCTTCATCTCTCTTTGCTGTCTTGTTTTTAAACAGGTGAAAGCATTTCTCCAGCCTCCAATCGAAGGCATTGTACTTGAAACTTATGGAAGTGGCAATGCCCCAAATAGCAGAGAAGACTTGCTAGAAGAACTTAAGAGAGCAACTGAACGAAAAGTAGTGATTCTAAACTGCACCCAGTGCTTGCGAGGGTCTGTTAAAACAGTCTATGCAACAGGGCAGGTGAGGGTTGTGCAATGATTTCAGATTCTACTTCTGTGTAAAAGACATTTTGCTGATATAAACGTGATTTATGCGTCTAGTAATGCCGATGTATGAAGCCAGATTTGTTACACTGTGAAGATACTGCTCGTAATATAACCATATTAGAAAAATATTAAGCTGTAAGCGTGTAAATATGTATCTAAGAACACAGTCCTGTTACTCTTAGCCTGAATGGTCTACGTATTCACCTCAAATCCCAAATCACTGACTACTTTCTCCTGTCATGAGCAGCACTCCAGGATACCTTACATTAGATTATTAGTGTCTGTCCCCAGGGCATTCCCTGAGCTAGAATCTAGCTTGTGGATCAGATGATCAAATAGAGTAATACTTGATAGGCTTGTGATTACTTAGTCACAATGTAAGAACAGCAGGAAAGCATGCAAATCCAAGCAGTATTCTAAATAATCTGTGTTTATTTGACTGGAAGTGCAACTGAATTCAGCGGGAAGGGGAACAATGTGTAAGGAAGCATATGCCTTGCAGAGTGGAAATCAGTTGTATTTAAGCTGTCAATGCTCTTACTATTCAGGATATTTTCTAGTGAGTTTCTTAATTGTGTGTTAAGATATGACATCACTGAGATTAATAAGAGCTCAAAGTTCTATGAGAGTATGTGATACATATGGTGGTGTGAAGGAAGCTGGTTTAGCTGGCCTTTATAACAGCCAGCCATTATGTATCCAGGAGGCACTGCTGTAGGGTGATGCACAGCCCTGTTTTAGGCACCTGTTTTAGTTGGTAGTAGTCACCTGTCCAGCAGAGCGTATCCACTGACTACTCTCATCATTGGTCGCTCTTGACATGACTGTAAGGCAAACCTAGGTCCTCTGAACTGATGTTGAAACCTGCCTATTTTAACATTGGTTTTGGCACAGCTCTAGGTTATATTTGCTTTAAGAATAAAGTCTGTTTTGACCAGAAAGAAAAGCAATTGTCAGGGGTTTTTATTTTCACCTTTTTGGTATTCTAACTTCATATACTGTGATATGAGCAGTTCTTTGGGTGTTAGTAGAATTTTAGCTAAGTTAAGGGGGAATGTTTTGAAAGTATAAACTTTAGGGGAGATCTCATGCTTTGTAGCAACTATGATAGAATCATTAAGGTTGGAAAAGACCACAGAGATCATATAGTCCCACCATGCCCGCTAACCATGTCCCTCTGTGCCAGGCTTTTTACATTCTAATCCTGACTGTTGAAAGGTTCTACTCATGTCACTAGCATTTGTCTTAACAAACATGTAGGGCCATGCAGAAATGTGTTCACTTCTGGTATCCATCTTTTACACTGAACATTTAATACGTTGCTTCAGCACCCATTGATGGAGGCTGTCCTGTTTTCTTGTCATCTTTCGAAATGCTGCTGAGCAAGCCAAATCCTACAGAATTACTTAATGCTTGCTTTTTTCATTGCCTTTTCTTTTTCATGAGAAACTGTTTACTGGAGGAAGTATCGTGGGTGAATGCTGGAAACGAACAATAATACATATATTTTTTTCTTTAAATATAGCCTTTCACAGGTCTTTGCATGTGGCTAGGCTGTTTTTTACTCATCTAGTGTGTAAGCTGAGTCGTTGGTTTTATTTAATGAACTGAATGCCTGGCTTCTGAACCATCTGCAAAGCAGAAACTTATAACTGAGGAGACTTAAGGTATAGGAAGGAAGCTGGGAAATCCCTTCATCCTCCTTCCTAAGCCTACTGAAGAAGCACTAACTGTTATTCGGTTAGCTCTCCAGAACAGAGAGTATTTCTCATCTTCTTTATATTTGGTTTTTTCCATATGACTTTCATGTTGGTCTGGGGCTCTCAGAGATGTTAATATGCTGATCAAGTCTCTGAAATATTAGTTAAGTCACAAGTTCCAAAGATGAAGTTTATACACAAGGCACTTAAAAGTAGATCAGTGTAAAGAAGCTACTGCAAGATGTTTAGCTGTGAGGCATCATGTAATGGCAAAGCTAATGGCCTATAGTTTATAGAAACCTGAATGTTTGCCCATGTACAATTTACTGATGGGATCAGAAATCTTCTTTATCTCTTATATACTTACGAAGCTTGCTAACCACAGTAAAGATGCTTGAGCTTCTTACTCTGGTTCAGTCGCTGGTGTGCTTTTATTAACTACCAGCAAGATAAGTTTAAAATGTTAGGCCATCTTTTTCAGTTGTTCTCATCACAACTGCGTAGATTACACATTTTAGTTGCATGTTCTAAATCACACAATGCTCCTGCAGCCTGAAAGGATATGAAAGCACTCCTGCTGTGAGCACACTGTAATGCTGGAACTCATCCAAAGATATGCCCCATAAAAGAACGGTAAATATGTCGGAGTAAGAGCAGCCTACTTGGCAGTGTTCACAACGCCACTGGGTTAAAATGGAGTAACTGCAGCTTTTTAGTAAAAGTAATCTGACAACTCTGCGGATAGCTGATGCAAAGCAGTGACCTTTCCATCTGAGCACAGTCAGTGACCGTGGCAAGGCTGAATTCTTCAGTGTTGCTGTGTGAAAAGGAACGTAAAGTATAAGCCAGCTTTATTCAGCTGGCTCTAGTATTTGCCCAGTATTTGATAGCTAAGATTACAGAAATCATAGTGGCAGTAGGAGTAAAAGTGCGGAGGCACGGCTGCATGCTGTATTCTGTAGTGCTGCACATTCATGTCCGTCTTCTGTACACACAGATATTTCTGTATGCTATGCTAATTGGAGCCATTATTTCTTTTCCTTCAGACTCTCGCTGATGTTGGAGTAATTCCTGGGTGTGATATGACACCAGAGGCAGCCTTAACTAAACTGTCATACGCGCTCAGCAAGAGTGAGCTTAGCTGGGAGGAGAAGAGACAGGTAAATATTTCAGTGTGACCTTGAAAGGCTTTAACTTTCTCATCTACTGTGCTAACTTCTGCTCAGCTGTATGCTTTGAGATTCTCCCTTCCATTTAAAAACAATTGGTTCCAGAGCCATAATGTGAACGTCATGTTGGTTTTTTTTCTTATAGAAAATACTCTTAGGCAAAGAAATGTATGTAGATTGGGGAAGAAAAGAATTATCTGCATAAATCAGTTGAAGGCTATGACCAAGCCATAAAAATGCAGTAGTCTGCGTTAGAGATTTCCATACAAAAGAATATATGTGGAAATTAATAAGGGAGGCAGAATCCTAACTCTCCTGATGTCAGCAAAGATCGTGTCGTTGATATTAGTGGTAAAGCTAATTTTAAAAATGAATGGTATGTACAGCCTCGTCCTTTACAGTACTACTTCTGTGAGCTTTAGGGATTCATTTTATAAATACATCAAAAGTAGAGATCATTTTAAGAACCAATCATAATGTATTTAAAAATCTTAGCCCCTTTAACATAGCTCTTTCTGTCCATCGTTGTTTAGTTATGGCCTTTTCCCCTAAATGATAAAGTTCCTGTATACAAGGAACACAGAGCTGTGAATTAGGTGGGGGGAGCAGCAGACTACAGGAATGCATGTGTTTCTGTGCCTGCATGCAGTGAAACCAAAATCATGACACTTTGGGAGATGACATCACAATGAGTCACTCTCTTGTCTTCAGCACTGAGTGCACGTGTATATCTAATGATATTGGTGGTTTGGTTTTTTTTTTTTAACTAAAATTGAAAGAAATTTGACCTTGATTTCATGCTCAGTAGGAGCTCTGAGACAAGCATGTTAGGGTACCTGTGACCATAAGTGGGTGACTGGAAGTACCACGAACTGTACTTGGAAATACTTTCAGTTTCAGAGCTTTGTGTTGTTTGCTGAAGTCCTTACTCTGAAAAACAAGAGGAGAGGCTGTGGTTTTTTTTCAGTGAGGATGGCAAGAACATACTCTGTGCAACAACATGCTAAACAGGCAGCATGACGTTGCAAGTTGTGGTACTGCATGTGTTTGTGTATATACACTTCAGAAACCCAGGCTCTTTACTGATGCCCCCCTGGTAGACTCACTGACCCCTGGAATACACGTATACTAGCCTCTTTCTTAATGTAGACTTTAATCTTCTTGCACAGACCTGGAACCGGAGAAACTTTCCGGCTGACATCCTGCCTAGGTGTATGGGTTAAAACTTAATTTGAGATCCAGTTTGCCAAGGCGAGATAGCTGAATTATTCAGGTGAGGACTTGGGGATACTACGTTTTAGGTACCACTGGCGCATGGTATTCCTGCATCATCTGTGATGTGTTACATGGTGTTATGAGGTAGTGCTGCCAGCTCCCTTACATGACTTGAAAAATAAATAACTTTTGCAGTTTCTCTGAGTTAAGCAGGACCGGTTTCCTCATTTGTCTCACTGTACAGACTCACAAACAGTTGTGTTGGCACAACTAAGGGAGCAACATGCTACGTTGCCTGGGCAGGAATGAGTGGTAGAGATCAGGAGAAGAAGAAAGCCTGGAAATATGTTGTCTGTGGCAATATCCTCAGCTAAGCATATCCCCAAACAATGGTCTCCCAAGAGACAGAAGCTCTCCTGAAGCTGGAGTGGTTATTTTAGGATTCTCTTTCAACATGAAGAAACAAGGAATGTGCCCCTAGATACATGCAAATGGCTGCACAGCTGGTAGGTCTGAGTAAGGCACACAGGATTTTTGCATTGGATGCTTTTAGCATTGGTGCCAATTGCTAGGGTTACTTGTGCAAAGTAATGATCTCAACCTGTCAAACTCTAAAAGTGTGCCAAAGCAATTGGTATCATCCGAGCGAGTTACATGTACATGGGACTCTTCCAGCAGACAGCTATAGTGTTGTCAGCGCTTGGGAGCTTTTTTTGTAATAAAGGGCATGCCTAGACATAAGTGAACCTGGGGCATTCCTCCTTCCAACATCACATCTGTTTTTGCAAACTTTCACAATCCTGCTTTTTAAAATTCTAATTGAAGCGACTACGTGCTTTGTAGCTGCATCAGCAGCCCGGAGTGAAAGGGTGCCAATATGTAAAATTGTGAATGGCTTCTCTCCTTGTTCTCCAGATTTCATAGAGCCTGCTTTTCACAGCATTTTTGTTTCTTTATTGTCATGTTCCAGCAATTTCTACACGTGATTTGGCTGTCCATTTTTGTTGTCTCTTGTTTTTTTCCTGCTTGCATCAGATGCTCTCACACTGCATACTATTCACACCTGCTTTGTGATTAAGTAATGAGCACTATGACAGAAGCTCTGCATTCAAAACTGGTTCTATGGCCAAAAATGTTAACAAAATCGGGGCTACTGGAGCTGTTTGAAAATCAGTTGGAATAGATGACTTCCACAGGCAGCACTGGGCTTTGTTTTGAGGCCTAAGCACAGTCTGTGTAGGAGTACCAGGTGTTGGGAATGCTGGCAAAAGGCAATATTTCAAAATATTCTGGTCTTCCGCCTTGCTCTGCTAATTACTCAATATCTTTGTGTTTTTAAGTAGGCTGCAGCATACTCCATTAGGGAACTTCTGTCTGCATATTCTAAAAATGGAGGTGTTTTGCTATGTGCTTAGTTTGTTTTTTTGCTTTGGAAGAAAGTTTTATTTGCCTGTCTCTTCCCTTCCCTTCCCTTCCCTTCCCTTCCCTTCCCTTCCCTTCCCTTCCCTTCCCTTCCCTTCCCTTCCCTTCCCTTCCC